TATTAAACTAACTATTTACATAAATAATTCGAAAGGTTTATTTGGAAATTCAATTATTTTTATGTATAAATTTTATAAAGAATGACTCAGGTTAACATTTAGTCTTTTAAATATCCACTATGCGTGGTAAGTGTAAATTATCTAACATGTGCCATATGTATAAAATGTTGCTAGGCTTATTCCATTGAAAATTTTGATTAATAATTTTAAATGAAGTTTATTTTTCAATTATATTTTTTTCCTTTTACAAACTCAATTTAACATCTCACATAAAGTATTCAAATCTAGTTCTTCTCATTTTAATCAAATATCAATTTCCTAAAAGATAAATAGTGTGGTAAATATTTTGAACTAATGAGTATTTTGGCATATAATATGATTATTTAAAAAAGGGTAATTATATACTAGCGGATTATTATTTGAATTTCACCTTGTGGTAATGATTAGAGAAATTTAAAGTGCTATGGAAGCAATCACACTTTTCAGTTGATTCTGTTAAGTTTGCAACTACTTGTTCCAATGGTTCACCCAATTTTCCAACCACTTGTTCCACTCTCCATTCTTCCTTCTTATGCATGCCCTTTGTACATCCTTCCACCAAATAATGGCTTCCACCCCATTTTCCCAAACCCCTCACTAAGCCTGAAACTTGTGAAACCACAGTGTTGTGCTGTTTTACCCTCTAATCAGAACAATAATTTTCTTCTCAATGACTGGTCTCAGCTTCTTCAATTCTCAATTGGGTCACAGGATTATATGTTGGCAAAGACAATTCATGGGTATCTCATCAAATCTGGTTGTGAAGGTGACCTATTTGTGGACAACAATCTCGTGAATCTGTACTCAAAATTCAACAACATGAATGATGCACAGAGTATATTTGATGAAATGCCTGTGAAGAGCACAGTCACATGGACTACCCTCATGAAGGGGTATTTGAAGAATGGGGATGTTGAGTATGTTTTGTGTATTGCACGTGATATGTGCATGGTTGATGAGAAGTTCAACGAGCATACTTGTTCGGTGGTCCTGCAAGCATGTAGGTCCCCGGAAGATCGTTTTTTTGGCGAGCAGGTTCATGCTTTTGTCGTAAAAAGTGGGCTTCAGGAGAATGTTGTTGTGGCTACTTCATTGGTTTCTATGTACTGTAGAAGTGGCCACTTCGGTTGTGCAGAAAGAGTGTTTGGTGGCATAACTGTTAAAGATGCTCAGTGCATAAATTATATGATTTTGGAATATGGAAAGGCAGGTTTGGGAGATAAGGCATTTCAAATTTTTGTGGATATGCTACAGTCTGGACTGAAACCAAGTAATTATACGTTTACGAATTTGATCAGTTCTTGTGATTTCAGTGGAGGATTATATGTAGGGAAACAACTACATGGGCTTGCGGTGAATTATGGTTTTATGTGTGAAACATCTGTTAGAAATGCAATGATTACAATGTATGGGCAACATGGAATGGTCGAAGAAGCTGAGAGAGCGTTTGCTGAACTGGAGGACAGATCTTTGATTTCGTGGTCTGCGCTTCTGTCGGTATTTGTTAAGAACGGCCATGCTAATAAGGCCTTTGACTTTTTCTTAAACATGATTGAGATTGGTGTGTCTCTTGATTCTGGTTGCTTCAGCACTGTTCTTGATGGGTGTTCAGAGTGGAATAATTTGAAATTTGGGGTTCAGATTCATGGACTTACAGTAAAGCTTGGTCACGTCTCTGATGTAAATAGTGGTACTGCTTTAGTAGATTTGTATGCTAAATGTGGAAGTTTGAAGTCAGCAAGAGCCATTTTTGACAGGCTCCGAAATAAAACTATTGCTTCATTTAATGCCATTCTAGTTGGATATTTGAATTCAAAGGTAAGAGATGATGAAGAGGACCCTATGGTTTTTTTCAGCAAACTAAGATTCAGTGGTGTAAAACCTGATGGTGTAACATTTTCACGGCTCTTTTGTTTATCTGCTAACCAAGCATGCTTGGTAACTGGGAAGATTCTTCATGCTTACGCAATAAAGGTGGGACTTGAAGATGATAACGCCGTAGGAAATGCTGTAATTACTATGTATGCTAAATGTGGCACTGTTCAGGATGCTTACCAAATATTTAGTGTCATGAATCGTGATTGTGTTACCTGGAATGCCATAATTTCTGCGTATGCCCTTCATGGTGAAGGAAACAATGTTCTTTTGCTCTTTGAGGAGATGAAGGAACAGGGTTTTGCTCCTGATGGGATTACAATATTGGCTGTTCTCCAAGCATGTAGTTACTCAGGTTTGTGGGAAACTGGGTTATACTTATTCAATGAAATCCAATCAAAGTATGGGATCACGCCTGTGATTGAGCACTACTCTTGCGTGATTGATCTTTTAGGTCGAGCCAGAAATCTGCCCAAAGCCATTGATATCATCAACAAAAGCCCATTTCCAGATTCAGTTTTGCTTTGGAGGACTTTTGTCAATGCCTGTAAGCTGTGTGGTGATTTACAACTTGGAATGTGGGCATCAAGAAAATTGCTTGATTTAGCCCCGCATGATGCCTCCTCTTACATACTTATATCAAACATGTACGCCGAAGGAGGCATGTTTGAAGAGGCTGCGAAGGTGAGAACGGCTATGAATGACTTGAAATTAACTAAAGAAACAGGCTCCAGCTGGATTGAGATAGATAATGAGGTTCACTATTTTATAGCAAGTGACAAAGAACACCCTCAAAGTAGGGAAATTTATGCAAATTTGGATCTGCTAAAAGATGAACTTCGTTGGACCTGCGGGAACAGAAATAATCTGGAACTGATATCAAATTCCCTGTGATACTACTTTAGATTTGCTATAGTTCATTAGTAAGATTTCAGCAATAGTCTAAGGATTGAGGGAGGATTTGCAAGTAGATCACTCTTCCATAACAATTTTGTAACGGTTCCCCCAGATTGATTCTGTATACCCCTTCTAATCAAGAAAAGGTTGGAAAAACCTGAACATCTTTTGTAATGTTCATTGCACAGTGAGTGCCAGATGTTTTTGAGTTAGAAACTGGTGCACAGCAACTCCTTTTGTTCTTAAATGAACCAAAATCATTTACACTTGTAATTTTCATAGAAAATCCAGTACTTCTGAAGCTCATGCATTATACTTAAGGAAAATGAAATCAGGGTTCTAGATGCTATGGAGTTGGTAGACTTGACTATTACTATTTATTTTGGAATGCAGTGTATCATGGATCTAGTTGCTTTTTCAAATAATAAACCATTTTCTGCATAAAAACAGAAATATATCCTTTGAAGCCTTGCCTAGGGTCCAAGATCCAAAGACCCAAACAAGCATGAATGTATTGTTTCAAGAAATCTGAGAATCCCAAAGAAGCATATTTGATTATTTTATTGGCAACCCACAGATTTGAGAACAAAAATAAGTTGTGTCACATAAAGATTGACTGANTTACACTTGTAATTTTCATAGAAAATCCAGTACTTCTGAAGCTCATGCATTATACTTAAGGAAAATGAAATCAGGGTTCTAGATGCTATGGAGTTGGTAGACTTGACTATTACTATTTATTTTGGAATGCAGTGTATCATGGATCTAGTTGCTTTTTCAAATAATAAACCATTTTTTGCATAAAAACATAAATATATCCTTTGAAGCCTTGCCTAGGGTCCAAGTTCCAAAGACCCAAATAAGCATGAATGTATTGTTTCAAGAAATCTGAGAATCTTAAATAAGCATATTTGATTATTTTATTGGCAACCCACAGATTTGATAACAAAAATAAGTTGTGTCACATAAAGATTGACTGAGACTATGAACAAGTGATAGTATCAGACTATATAATAATTTATCTTGAGTGACACTACAGGTACAACATTAACAAAAGGTGGGACCAAGGACTTGAAAATCTCATTGGACAAACACAGTAATAGGAGAAATCGAAACATTATGAATGATGCCTTGATCATATTTGATTGACAAGAATCTTCTCCTTTTGGCTTGTGATGAATTTATCAAACTGGACACTGTATCTAGCTTTATTGACAATGCATTCCATGCAGACACTCAATCCTTTTCTAGACCAGTATTGGTGAGAATTGCCTTCCACTGAAGATTCACGCTCCAAATACAAAAACACTAAAAGACGAAAACTGTTTCCACTGTTCTTAACTTTAGCTCTTGCTTTTAGATTGAAAGCGTGAAACTTTAGTTACTTACGGTGAACAAATACTAGCCACATCACTGCGCAATTTCCGTGCAAAGGTTGAGCATCAACTATTCTGTTACTTTTTTTTTTCTCTGGTCTACAAAGTAGTCACATGTCTACTCTTTTCCCTTTTTAAATAACTTATTCTTAATTTACTAATCAATAAGATTTAGATTCAGAACTTTTTTTAGAGTTATTCTCCAACTAAAATTTAGAGTTTTACTTTTTATCCATCATTAAAAGCTGGATGAGTCAACTATATTTTACCATTTGTTTAGAAAAGCATGACATACCAACATAAGTGTGTTTTATTGAACTTATTAATAGTAGCTTTTGCTTGTTTAGATAAGTGACAGGTGAAATTAAATTTAAATCTTCTGAAGAAAATTTGAAGTTCAAGTTTTAGTAACGAGAAAATCAACAACATTAGAACATTGAAAATAATCAATCAAGTTTTTCTTATAGATTAATCTCTAGTAAAGTTAATGGATATTTGACATCAATAATACCAGTAAAAGATATGTATCTAATGGTCTATTGGATTGAAATAACTTAATGATGCTTTTCACTCTTTCACGTGAATTTGTGATGATGCAACGCGAGTGCTTAAGCTTCCTTGCATGTGTTAGCATGATCTGCAAGATATTTTGTCATAAACTAAACAATTATTTCTTTTTTTTTCTGTGATGGGATATGAAAATTAACAACTGATTAGAAAGATTAGTGAGGGCCACAAGATTGTGGAGAAAATTGCAAAAATGTTGGACAAAGTTACGTGTCGGCAATGCATTTTCAAGTAGTGGAGGCCAACTAATGACAATAAACCAAATTTATTAATGTACAAAACGTTTAATCAGCAGCACAACCAACCCAAATGATCATCATGTCTATAAATTCTAATGCACTAATCAATCACTCAGAAACACTCCAATTGGTTTGTATATAATATAAGATGATAATGTACACCCCCATATCTTCTTTTTTCTTTATACTGCATCTCTTTAACCCTTTAAGTTAAATTAAAAAGGAAAAGGGACTCTCACCACCACACTATGTCATCTATTATGCCATGATATTTTCCCTCTCTATGTTTCTCTTTTTGGTCATATTTGTCTACAAATGTGGTTTCAAAGTATAACATTTATTAAAAGAAAGATCTTTTGGTAGGTGCTCTTCCAACTGCTCTCATGAGGTTGGCAATCTCCAGAACCCTGGCTACTTTTGTGCCCCTTTTAGCCTCTGCTGATGCCTTCCTCTCCTCAGCTTTTCTGTGAGCTTTTGCTATCTCATTTTGCATTTTCTCCAGTGCTCTTGCTCTTTTCTCCTCCAGCTTCCTCTGCACAATGAGCAAACTTTTGCTTATTGATGAACAAAATTGTAATTACAAACAAAGTGCACTTTATTAGTCAAACTTCTGTTTTACTGTCCAATAGAGTTGGTGTAATGTAGACTGAAAAATGAAAAGCAAGCATCAAAATCAAATCATTAGTCCACTTGTTTTTTTCTGGCTACCATATCTCCAGCTCTTTTCTGTTTTCACTGTAAAAGTAGCCTTGGAGATAAGGCAATGGATGCAAGCCAAATGAGTCCTTTCATATATTAACATGTTATTATCTTTTTAACCAATACAATATACTTTTGATGGTAAAAAATGCAGAAAGAGCTTGTGGCTGAATGATGATATTTTTCTTTCAATTTGGCATGTCAGCCTCCCTGTCCAAAGATAGGAAAAGGAAGAGCTCATGATGGAGAAAAATCCTAATTCAACTTTTCATTTAACATATTTTTCAACCTGAGAAGACTTTGATTTTAAACCCGGGTATGATCAAGATCAAGCCCTTGAATTCCATGCTAAAACCATAAACACATCAAAATTCAAAGGATATCTTCTACCACCACTGACACTTTTGCTCATGGAAAAATATTAATAAAAAAGAGGGAAAAGAAGAAAGTGAAATTTGACAAGCAATCTAGACCTCCTTCAAGCATTCATACTTTCATATATAGAAGTAAGTATTTTCCCCAACCATTCCCACAAAACATGCTGAATATTGATCCATGATCCAAGAGTCTAAACAACAATAATTAAGCAATCATCAAGGGTATCAACCCTACCCCCTAGCATGTCAACCATATCCAATCTTTAATTTCAGTTAAAATAAAAACCCACTCATATGAAGACCCAGAAGAAATTAAGGTAAGAGTTCCTTCACCGATTGATTGGATCATCCATGGACTAATCTAACGACTCAATTTTAGTCTCAGACAGTAATCATCATAAACAAGCACCACCATCACCCAAAAATCAAAATCAACTCATCATGATCACTAACCAACCCACTTACAGCCACCAAAGAAAAAAGTAGCCAAAATTCAGTTCTAAAGTTACTATATATATATACCCACACTCAGTTACTGAAAAACACCTTGTTAAAAGAAGTTAAACCCTTAATAATTTTTTCAATTTTGAAGAACTAGTCTCTGACTCCATCCAAAGTAATTTCATAATTCATACATAGCATACCTCAACTTTCTTCATCCACGAAGTTGCTTTCTGAACCTGCTCATTCTCCCACCCATTTATAACAGCATCTTCCCTCTTGAACCTGTTGTTAATCTTAGCAACCTTAGCGTTTTGCCAAGCTGATATCTTTGCTTCAACCTCCTCCTTTCTCACCCTCTGCACTGTCACCTCACTCAGAGCAGTACCAGAAGCTGAAGAAGAAGAGTTCCCTCCACGCCTCGGAGGTGATGATGAGGAATCAGCTCCCAAAGGGTTGATATCTGCCACAATAGCCAAAGGGTTAGTCTCTTCCATCATCAGCAACTCATCCTCTCCAATCCTCCCCAAGTTGTTGCTATTGTTGTTGTCGTTGCTAATGCTGCTATTACCACCTCCTTCATTGCCATGCATCATATTCACACTCATGGGACTAGGGGTGGTGGTGTTGCGATCAATACTTGAGCCTGCTAGAACCAGGGCACTGAATTCCCTACTCACGCTGAAGTTCTCGCTGGAACCACCTTCTATGGACACAGAAGAAGAGTGGTGGCTGTGAGTGTGTGTTTCCCAGTTAGGCTCTCTTCTGGGGGGTGGGGTCAAGGCATGAATTTCTCTGATTTGCTGTTCATTATCAGTGTAGTCGCTTTGCTCCTCTCTGTCATGGCTTGTGGAAGGTGTTTGATAATTCAGCATAGGTGAGGATGTGTGTTGTGGTTGAGTCACAACAGAGAAACTGAAGGGAAAGTGAACTTAAGAGTAGAGACAAAGTCAGGGGTTCAAGAACAACATCATGGTTTCTTTGTTTATTGTGTCTGTCTTGTGTTTTCTGAGATTTTAGTCCTTTTTATTGATAACTGAAAATGGTGGCATAGGGATCAGTGTGGTGGATATCAACTCAGATAAATTATTTTTATTTAATAAATGGTTTTGAGTATAAAATTTGGATATACTATACTTTTCTTTTAAATGTTCAAAAGAAGAAAGTTTTACCATTTACAATGCTTTTATTCACTTGAACAAAAATAATCGTTTTTAGTAAAAGAAGGTAGGTTTATATCAAAGAAAATTGAATAAAGAAGATATATTATTTTGTTAAATATCCTATTGATACGCGTTCCATAAGTGATAATTAATCTTTAAGATATTATGACTGATCATCTTTTTGGAATCTCTTCACAATTTCATCTTTTCTTTTTCATATTTATGATATTTCAGAGTTTGTTTAAAGAGATAAATAGATGTAAATAACTTTTTAATAGAGAGAGCAATTATTAGCTCCAAACTATTTTTAATATATGAAAAAATTAATTACGATTAAGGGTGATTTTAAAAAGAAAAAAAATTGTATACGTCAACTAATAAGAAAATCTACATTGTTATAGATAATATGAAATTTCAGAAAACGTGTTGGATGATTCTTTGGAAGATCCTTCATTAAAATAAGTTGGTGTTACAAGAAATCTAACATCTAGATTTGCAAGAATAAAAAATTACTTTTAGATTTTGAAAAGTTAAATTATAAATGAAGAATTATTAAATAATAAGTGTTAGAAGACCCTTAAAATATAAAGCTTCTTAATACCATTTTTTCATTAAAAATAACCTAGAACAAAAAGTCTTAAAATTACATTCCTTTAGCAAAATAAAAAATAAAAACTATACAAACCGACTCAATTCAACCAAATAGATTAACTACATCGAAGAAAATCTAATTAAAAAATAAACTTTTTTTGTTGAGTTAAATGTGAATGTATCCATACGGGAACAAAATATTGTCTTTACATATTATAAAAAACAATATATGTAAGGAAATACTCATATTTAATTTCCAACATTAGAAAACTCATCAATCTAAAAATAATAGTAATAAGAATAGGATTAATCTGAAAGTGATGAGTTTATGAATGGAGCGTGACGAAATTTAAATGGCAGCAATGGTTTTGTGGATTTTTTATGTGATGCAATTTTATTAGAAGAATCCTGAAAGAGCTAGCTATCGAATGTTGGAGGGACTCAAATGGACCACTCAATTTCTCAAACCATAAAAAAATCCTTTGCTTTTCAATTCAACAGGAAAAAGAAAATAACTTATTTGTGTTAAAACTAGTTTATTCCGTTAGAGGCTTCACGTTGTATACACTGAGTGAAATCAATAATAAGAATGAATTATATTTAAAATTTATCTTTTAAAATCATATTAAAATTTATTGTATGAATAGGTACATATCAATTCACGACTGATTGTTCAGCAAGGAAGACAACTATCATGTTAGAATAATTTAAATATCTAATTAATTTAAATAATTAACTAATCAAATTTAAAGAGAATTAAGTCATAATTATGTTAATCTAATCAAAAGTTTATTGATAAAACTATAAATACAGTTATAAATATAAGCTAAAAGTATGATTGGTGAGACTTTTATTACAATATTAATTGTTTTACCGATTAAATTTAAATTGACTTTAGCATCAAAACCTCTTTAGTATGTATCGATTAGTAAACATATTACCTTAGCACAGAAAAAATTGTACGGGACAAGAAAATTATTTTAAATGAACATTCAACCCTACACCAAGACATTTTGGTGAACATATTATCCTAATACGGAAAAGAATGCATTAGAATACATAACAAGAAAATTGTTTTAAGTGAACATTCAATTTTATATTCAAAATATTTTACCGTCCATCGTAGAACCGAACAAAAGCTTACCTGGTAACTATTAGGAATATGGCAAACATTGTGTTAGAGGAAGTTATAAACAATTAGATTAATACAAGGGAAATGATAAGAAATATGCAATAGCATATAGAAAAAATTTAAAAGAAGTATGAAAATACATAAAGGCATTACAAGTTAAGAACGCTATCACTCGACGAGAAATTAATGGTAAGATTTTGTGTTATACCAGCAAAGCAACACCAAGATGAAAATGGTCCAAACGAGCAGTTTCGAGACAAATAAAAATCATAATCACTATATTGAACAGTTGACACATACATGTTTCAGTTCACTTTGAGAATCATGAAGACCTTTTTATTCGATAATGAAAAATGTATGTGTTTAATAAATAAGATAAATCTATCTACTCGAGTTATCGATCATGCTATTGTGACGAATACGTATAGTAGAAAAGTTATCTAAAACTTATGATATGTGATTATGCAAAATACTAAAGAGAAGAAGTGTTATTTTACTTATAATTAGTGCAACATTTTTAGTAGGATTATATATTTTAAAAATGTCAATGTTATATGTTTCTTCTATAGCCATTTTGAGTAGTTATTAAGTAATAGAAATAAGAAAATTCTGGTCACATCATTTTCATATGATTATTGGTACTTTGTTATTCGACGATCCATAGTACAAAATCATTTAACAAGGATTAAAATTTAAAATATATAATTATTAAAATAAAAAATAAATAGTTTAATAAAATATAGTCCAAATTTTAGAATTTAAAGAAATAAAAGTTGGCGCACAAGTAGG